AGCCTAACCAGATTAGCTTTTTGATAGGTGTGAGGGGGTGGGTTGCTGGGTTTCTCCTATCAATGATGTGGCTAACAAGATCAACTAGATAGAACCTGTTGAGATTAGTCTTGATGGTTGTACAACAGATTAGTCCTTCCTGATTACTGTACTCTTGGGGTGTCTCTGAGTGGTTTAATGTGACTGTCTAGCTTTAGCTAATCATATGGGTCTTGAAGGAGATAGAGAGATGGCAGAAGGGGGAGTACCTTTCAGAAGTGATTCATAAAGACTGGCTTCTTTACCAAATACATGACAATATCATCCAGGGGTGGGCTATTAATGAGGGGTAGGTTTAGAAGGGCTAATAAGCTGTCATCCAAGGTGCAGGCAAAACAGGACAAGAACCACCACACCAACAAGTTACCAAATTTGGTTTTCCTGGTGCCAAACACAAAGTCTCTCCTTCCTTCACAATTCCTTTACACCCCAAACACACTCTGAAGTTGTGTTTTGTTGCTTCCACAAGCTACAAATTCAATTAAAGTAAAAGACCATGTGAAAAGTCCGGTCCTCTGTCCAGAAATTAAAAAGATAATATTCACTCATCATCACCCATTGTAAGTGGAGTGTCGTAACTGACCTTGTGACCATTCATCAGTTGGTGTCTGAAAGGGCATTTTCAAGAGCAACAAATATTATGGAGGTCAAGTGGATACAAATTGATGACTTATCTGGGAGAGTAACAGGCAGATGGGAAATCCTGCCAAGGCTAAGTGTGTAAACAAACTCATTCCTACTGTTGCTTCGGCCATTCATCACTATGGGAAGATTTGATACAAAAACTAAGAAATTGAATTTAAGCAGCCTGTGGCCAATATAAAAAATATGTTAACAGACCATTCCTCCATTCTCTAATAACATTCTCCTACAAACCTGTATATTGAACTGGGGCTAGTGTGGGGGGGGGCAGGGGGTGCACACATTTTGTCAAGGGAGCACTACAAGAAAATAAGCTGCAGCTACATTTCAACAGAGATTTTTGACAGATTTTAAATGGAGGGGACCACTGGGGAAGCATGGGCATCTGGGGAGGGTGCGTCCCCCCCAGATATGCCACTGATTTCACTGAGCATTTCAGTCTATTTCAAAGTTTGATAGATGTAACCCTGTACATTTCAGAAGCCTTAAGTGTACCAATTACCCATTGAAACTATTCTTTTAGTTCGTCTTGATTAAAATAAAAATTATTCTGATCTCAGCGCAAGTCTGTCAAATGCTCCAATCTCCATCTTGATGCTACCAGGGATGACAGGCTGGGAGAGTTTAATATCTCTAGATGGAGTTGATGAATACATCTGCAACATTTCACTAACGGCAACTGCATCTATTGCCTGCTAGAAATTTACATTATTAGCTGACAGGTTCCAGTAGGACCTTCACTTGATCCTTGCTGCATACTTTGGCCATTTTAAGGTAGGGACAAACAGTTTCTAATTGAACAGAATTCGGAAGACAGCCATAGACTTGTTGAGGATTTTGCCCCTGTAATTTACTGGATAAAAATCAATGAACTGGTACCGAATGCGATAACGGAAGGCCTTCAAAGACATGCCCAAATTAATATCACACTGTTGAAAGCACCAGGACATCCAAGGGCACTTTTTTGGAGAGATGACCTGGATGAATTCTCCAGACCAGATGGCCTGGCTAGGAATTCCAAGATTAAAAAAGATCAACTGCATGTATATGTACATGTATGTACATGCTGATGGATGGAATTCAAGGTGTTGAAATGTATTATGGTTTTTAAAGTATAAACGTTTTTGTCTAAAACAGGTATGAATTATGGAGTTGAAGGCATATATGATAAATGTTGCGCTTTGTGGTTTGAATTCCTGAAATAAGGTTCTTGGTCAAAATACAAATCTCTTGATTAAATCTTAATCCAATGAGCAGTTTAACACTGATAATCTACAATTTATGTCACTGAAAATGGAAATTATGTCCAGCAAAGTAGAGTCTTTTTGCAGCAGTAAAATGTAATACGAGCTTGATCAGAACGGATGGGAAATCTCAAGACTTCAAATATTTGGGAAATGTAATGGGAACTTGAAGAGGGGATTTAGATAGGATGTCTTCAAAGACCATAATGACTTAAAACTGGTCTGCCAAGACGTCAATCATTCTCAATCAAATTCTCATGTCAATCTGCACTCAACGGCAGAGCTCCGACCTACATTTCTGATCTACTTCAAATTCACACTCCTACAAGAAATCTAGGATCCAGCAACATGCTACTTCACAAGGAACCCAAGTCTTGGCATCCCTGGGTGACAGGTCTTTTTCTGTGGCAGCTCCACACACCTGGAACTCTCTATACCACTTCACCTTAGATCTTGTCCTTGTACCACTAAATTGGAATCACTACTCAAAACCCTTCTAACAACACAAAGTCTCAAGGACTTAGTTTGATTGTTTGTATTACTTTCCATGATTTGTTTATCTTAAGGTTTGCTGTGCCTTGAACACCCAATAGGGCGGATATGTGCGCATTTACAAGTTATTATTACTATTATCAAAAGGCATTTCAACTGAGAATGGATTAATTGGATCCTGAAAATCTGACACTGAAATATGATTAACACAGATCTTTCTACCATCGGTGCCATTTTACGGTAGAGAAAAACTTACAGGAACAGAGATGTTCGTGTTGGTACTGCATCCTGCTCTTCACAAATTTCGAAAAATGATACTACTGCAAAGCACTTCGCCTCGTGTGGAAAAATACCAGTCACATTACTTACCCTGCGGGATACCCACGTGAAGATGTACAGCATGAAAGAGGGAGCTGGTATTTAATTAAAGCTGGATACAGTAACTGTTCTGTGGCCTATGGGCGTAATGTCGGCTCATTATATCCGATACCAATCCCACAAACACATTCCAATATGGGTCACTCTGCTCGTTAATCCCAAAAGAACTACGTCAAAGATAGCCTTCATGATTCTATGATTCCTGGGAGAATTACTTGGCCATTTACTCAGAAATGTCATGTGAATGATCAAACAACACTTGTCTTCATTTATAAAATCTAGACCTTTGACATAACAAGAATATACATACGTTTACAAATAGAGGACACTGCCATAAATATTATCATCCATTTAAAAATTTGTTTTCTGAGAAGTAAAGACAATAAATTTGTAACTGTCAGTAAATTGTACTTTCAGGTCACAAGGGCTTTTATATACTGTACTGGTAGTTGATTGGTTAGCTTTTAATCTTTTGATTGTAAACACTAGCGATGTGCAGTTTTTCAGAGAAAAATGCTCAAATTCTCAGAATGAAAAAAAATTCCTTTGAAATATCCTTTCATCAGTCAAAATATTTGATACACAAATGCAGGGCTACTATTGTAACTAACAAACCATTTCAGACGTTTTGACATAAACCATTCGTATCCAGTACAAAGCTGTGATGTATGGCATAGATTCCAGGACCTGTATTATTTACAGCTTTCTTCGACCTCTCCGCTGACACACACCATTCTCCCAGTATTCTCTGACCTGTTTGCCTCCTCTAATTGGCAACTCTAGAGCTCCAATATGGATGCCAAGTGCAACAACTTAGGAGATAATTTCTTCAACCATTGCCAGACCTACATGTACACTGTAGATTGGAATCGCAATCCCCAGGGTATGTGAGTGATGTACAATGAAATAAAATATTGACAGAAATTGGACTTCCGTCTTGAAGAACAACCGGACAACAAGTAAAACCCACACGTTTACCGAGCAGATATGGAAGTTTATTTCCAGCTCTATTTATAACAATTTTTCTTTCAACTGAACATCTACATGTACAAACATGTAAATCCTACAATCAACCAATGTTAGGTCTTGATTTTTTGGTTTTTCATCCAGAATTCCACGAAGAAAAATTGGGATGTGTCATTAGTTTTACTGGTCATTAAAAAAAAATCAAACTGTCCTTTCTGTTGGTGCTTTTGGCTTTGCTAGAATTTCGAGAAAATGTGCAGACAACATGAAATAAACAAAAGTTGTTTTGAAAATGTCCCCTCACACTATTAAACTATTTCTTACCCTGGCCTTCACACAAGGCCTAATTTGTCATCTGATGTTCTTCAACTTAATAATACAATTTAACCTTCATCGGATATTAATGCTCATCTCAAGGAATTCACATCCTTCAGGGAATGACAAGGAACAAACATAGATGATCTTAATCGGATGATACTTGGCCTGAGGTATCTAAACTAATAAACATATGATAAGTACACCAACATGTACTTAAATACCTTTGGAGTGAACAGGAAACAGGAAGTTGTTTGTATGGCAAAGTAATTGAAACTGAAAATGAAAACAAATAACCAGAATGATATAACGATGGGAAGTGAGGTTATCTTGAATTAAGAAGTGTCATTCAAGAAAACAGAAATGCTAAGCGTTAAATGAGTGTCATGAAATGCTAAACGTGAAGGAATACCGGTATGTTTTACTGATTACTGGCACAGAGCCACAACAAATTCTGAATGGAAGAGTACATTTTTCACAGTGACTATTAGTATTCAACTTATTTTGATGGTTCCTCCATCACTCATGCATTGGAAAGGTAAGGTAACTTCTCGCTCTGGGAATAACAATCAAACTTTAATCAAATTACAGTTAACAAATCATTTATTTTTGTGCATGCATGTATTATGAATAAAGTCAATTTTTAAATGAGAACCATTTCATATCAGTAGTGTTATGCAAACTGCAGTCTCTTCATCCATTGTAAAATAAACATAAAGAACATATTAAATAACTCAGGCATAATTCATGAATACTTTTTTAATGAGAAAAATGAAGCTAAAACAATCAAGCTATATCTCTTGAGCATTAAAAAATTAAAATTTTCTCCTAACTTCTTTAGTTACAAACAGAATGACATCAGACGAAGTTGTGATTTGAGATGATACACATTAACCAAAAAAGGAAAAAAAGATAACGACTTACCTGTCTCTGCTCACAGCGATGGTGAAGTCTTCGTGTTTCCCAATGGCCGACTTATTCCTGAACCAATTCACATCCGGTTTGGGGTGGCCAGTGATTGTACAGACAAAGATGACTGATTCCCCCTCCCTGGTTGTTTGATCCACCAATTGCTGGGTGAACTCTGGCGCCTCTTCACCTTCAGATGCTGTGTCAAAGCCATTGCTGTCAAGATCACTATCGCTGGACTCTTGGGAGTGATCAAATTGGCCAAATTCCAACATAAGAGGGCAGTATTCATCAAATCTTTACTCAGAGAGCTGGTACTATGGAAACATGGTCCAATGTACAACTCCAAGTGAGTACCCTTTCTGAATATATTTTGACATCATGTAAACAGCTGACGTACATGTACATTACAAAATAATGTGTTCTAGCCATAATTTACAATACATGTACATGTATATACAGTGTATGTCATTTTGGTACATGCATTTAACTTGATTTAGCGGTGGGTAGCTGTATCAGTCAGGTAGAATACAAATATAAAGAATCAGTAGCACTTTGATGACTAACTATTAAAGTAAAACAGAGTTTTACTTTAATAGTTAGTCATTAAAGTGCTACTGATTCTTTATACTTGATTTAGCAAAAGACTTTATGAATAAATCATATGAATAAAGATGAGAAAGACTTACAACTACATATGTATGTGACCTTTGTAAACACCCCTCCCAGCATCAAGCTCACGATGTCTTGTAAGTTCCTATTAACCCTTACAGCCCTCAGTCCTCTGACTGATGGAGTGAGGATAGTTGAGGTTGATGTATGTGGCATTGGGCCAATCTTTATTGAGTGACCTCAGCCATCTGTCATTTGACTTTGGTTCTGCTGAAACACCTCTCAACCCCCTCCCCCCCGGTAAGAAACTAATTTTCATCAAAACCAGAAACTAAATATGAAAAAGTGAATCCATGTTGCAACAGAAGCACTGTCCATCTTACCTTCTATAGTCTCCAGCAAATGACCAGCAGAAAAGAATGACATGATGTTGAATCATCCAATCTCTGTTGGAACCGTGGGAAACCAGGTGGACGTGAACATACCATATGGCATTATCTACAATAAAGAGTATAACTGACATTAATACAACTTCTCAAATTGGAACATTTCCTGTCAGTCTCACAGTGGCGTAACTACAGGAGGGGGGGCATGTTCGGATGCTATAACCCCCTCCCCCAGTGCCCCCTATTTGAAAACTTTGAACAGTGTCCGTTGTAATGTAGCTGCAGCTTGTTTTCTGGTGGTGCCCCCTTGAAAAAATATGTGCACCCCCAGTTGCCCCCTCCTACGCCAGAAATGTAGCACCAGTTACCCTGTACATGTATGCCACTGCATTCTCAATGAACAAAGTGAAAGACAAGTACAGCAATTGTACCATGCCAATTTTTGATCTGCTAATTTAACATTTCATTCACTAATAGAATGGATATTGGCAACCAGCAATATCTACATATATGTCAGGAACGACTGTATTTGGCACCTGTCAATATCTGCGCTATCCAAGAGTAAAATTCCTCACAGCTGGAATGGACAGTAAATGTGAGACATCAGTTCTAAATGTATTTTATTCGGCCTGACGGGCAATATGGTTACATGAGGAGTACACAATTTTGTCTGAGCTCTTTTCACTTTCTGGTTGGGTTTCAGATGTTGCAAACATTGCAACGGTGAACCGTGAAAGAAAAAGAAAACGGATGTTTTTTCAGTTGAGGTGGTGTACCGCTCCAGTTGTTATCATGCGTGCATGTGCAGCATTTTTTAAGAGCGGGATGTACGCACTCCCTATTAGGATTAGGCGGACTTTTTAGAGACAATCCTGGACAAATCTCGTTGGAACATGCCTCCCCCTCGCCCCCTGTCAATGTTGTTTCTCGTTGGGTAAGTTGGGCTTAATCTTGGTCCAATAAATTACCGCAACATTGAATGGGGGAGAGGGGGATCTTTTCACTGCGCTTCCCACAAGGTGTTCCAACTATTTTGTCCAGGATT